AGAGATATATATATATATATATATATATATATATATATATATATATATATATATATGTGAAATAAAAGGAAAACCTGAAGGAACCAAATCATTCCAATTCTTTCACTAAAATATTGCCTTTATGTTCTAAAATATGAAAACTTTATTACAACAAATTATGATATAATTTGCATTTTGCGTCTATAAACTAAGTTATTAAATTTCCTAGTTCTCAAACTCTGTCTCACATTATATATTAGTCATTGCTCGCACTTTGTTAACGGGTGAATTTGTACATAATATATTAAGACATAATCACACACATAACACAAGTATTTGAGTGGTTCACCCATAATAGGGCTACATCCACTATAGTTTATAACTTTGTATTTGTATTTGTATTTGAATATGGAGATTGCGTTGTACATGAAAGAGATATGGGGAGAGAGGCTTGAGAGCTCTAGTAGAAGAGAGATAGAGAGCTTAGGAGATCTTTGGGCAGCTCTTAGAGAAGTGGCAGCTGCTCTCATTTTCTTAGAAGTGGTGAGCTCTCTTTTGTAGTCCAAGTAGTGGTAGAGAATGCATGGCTCTCCTTGATTTGGGGATTCTACATGGTCTTCCCTTGATTTGGGTTCCTTGGGCATTGAGAAGGCATGGGAGGGGGCATAGCGAGCTACTTCTTGTTTGGTGGGATTGGTGGGATTTGCTTAAGGGGGGATGTGAGGTCAACACATATGGTGTCAACAGAAGCCCCCAAGTCCACAGTCGAGAATAGCTTCTTGGCTGGGGACTTTCAAGTAAGACTAGTGTCTGACCGAGCCAAGCACATATCTGTTAGAGGTGGTGAGGTCGAGCCAAGCACATATCTATTAAGGTGATGAGGCCGAGCCGAGCACATATATGGAGATCATTTTCATTCTCTTTAAGCATAGCAAAACATATTGGAGATAGTGTGGCTTAGTCGAGCTTATATATAAAGATAGTAAGTTCGAGTCGAGCACATATATTAGAGATAATTTTCCTTCTCTTTAAGTATGGCAAGACATATTGGAGATAGTGTGGCTGAGCCGAGCTCATACATAAAGATAGTAAGGCCGAGCCAAGCACATATATTGGAGATAATTTTCTTTCTTTTTAAGCATGGCGAGGCATCTTGGAGATAGTATGTCCGAGCCGAGCTCATATATAAAGATAGTAAGGTCGAGCCGAGCACACATATAGAGATAGTAAGGTTAAGCCGAGCACATATCACATGATTTTGTGATGATAGTGTTGTATGATGATGTATGCCATGTCATAATGGCGATGTATGTCGTGTCATGGTTTAAAGTATGTGTAAAATAATATCTCGTATATTTTATGTATTTGCAATACAGAAGAATGCCAATATATAAAGCCAATAAGACTACCTAAGGAAGGTAATTTAAATCCTAAGTTAAAGGCACTAATTTGTACAAGCCTTAACAGAGAAGTTGACTATTCCTATACAAGGTAACAAATAATGTACAATATATTTTGTAATCTTTCCATATCTTCAATATTCCCCCTCAAGCTGGAGTATGGAGATCAAGAATACCCAGCTTGTTTTTGAGTCGTTGGAATTGATCTTTACCTAAAGACTTGGTAAAGCCATATGCGAGTTGCTCCTTTGAAGGAATATAGGCAGTACGTAAAGAACCATTTTGAATCTTCTCTCGAACAACATGACAATCGATCTCAATATGCTTGGTGCGCTCGTGATATACTGGATTAGCTGCTATGTATAAAGCAGCTTGGTTGTCACAATAAAGTAAGCTTGGTGTGGTGTGTGACAGACCAAGATCATAAAGTAAATATCGTAACCATTGGAGTTCACAAGTTGCCATAGCCATCGCTCTATATTCTGCTTCGGCTGATGAGCGTGATACAGTATCTTGCTTCTTTGTTTTCCATGAGATAGGACTTTCTCCAAGAAGTACAAAGTAACCTGTAGTCAACCTCCTTGTCATTGGACAACTAGCCCAATTAGAATCACAGTAAGCTCTCAATTGAAAATTATTTGAAGATGATAACAAAATCCCTTGGCATGGAGTCCCTTTCAAATAATGTAATAATCGATATGCAGCATCTTTATGAGTTGTACGGGGGCTTTGCATGAATTGGCTCAAAATATGAACTGTATGAACAATGTCTGGCCTGGTGATGGTGAGATATATCAAGCGACCCACCAATCTTCTATAGGTTTCTGGATTATGTAATAGTTCTCCATCTTCATTGTTTAACTTGAGATTTTGTTCCATGGGGAAGAAAGTAGGACGTTCACCTATAAGACCTGAGTCTTTCAAAATGTCAAGTGCATACTTCCGTTGGCTCAAATACAATCCCTTTGAAGAACGAGACACTTCTATCCCAAGGAAGTATTTTAAATCACCAAGGTCTTTTAAATGAAAACGTTGGTGCAACAAATTCTTGATAATTGATATAGTAGCAGCATCGATACCTGTAATAATAATATCATCAACATATACAAGCAAGAAAATTGATGACTTACCTTTGTGACGATAGAAAAGGGAGTAATCTGCTTTAGATTGAGAAAACCCCACACCCAGCAAAGCTTTGGAAAATTTTGCAAACCAACACCGAGAAGCTTGCTTTAATCCATAAAGTGATTTGTTAAGACGGCACACCATATTTCCCCCTTTACCGTGATAACCTTGAAGGAGCTACATGTAGACCTCTTCATGTAAATCACCATGAAGAAATGCATTGTTGACGTCTAATTGTTGAAGACACCAACCCTTGGCAGCGGCCAAAGATAATAAAACACGAACAGTGGTAAGCTTGGCAACAGGAGAAAAAGTTTCATGATAATCAATCCCTTCCATTTGTGTATATCCCTTGGCGACGAGGCGAGCTTTGCATCTTTCAATAGTGCCATTAGAATGCCGTTTTATTTTATAGACCCACTTGCAGCCAATGGCTTTTTTATGAGCAGGCAAGGCCATGATGGTCCATGTATGATTAGCTTCCAAGGCAGCAAGTTCACTTTGCATAGCTTTACGCCATTCAGGATATTTAGTGGCTTCATCAAAACTGTTAGGCTCAACAATGGTAGTAATAGAAGCAAGAAAACTTTGATGTTTAATAGAGAATTTGTCATAAGATAAATAATGGGATAAAGGGTACCTGGTGCCATGCTGAACCGGAGTTGAAGAGGGAAGATCAACTTGAGATTGGTAGCAGTGGTAGTCACTAAGATAACCTGGTGGCTTTCGATGGCGAGGAGGAAGTGGAGTAGAGTCAGACGGTGTTGATAAAGATGGAGGAGAAGATGACGGAATAGGAGGCAGAGAAGAAGTATGTGATATTGGGGAGGAATGGGTGGGAACTTGAGATGGAGAAGGTGTGGTCTCTATAATGGGGTTAAGGGATTGTGTAGGTGCGGAAGCGGGAGCAAGGTCAGAGGGCTCAAATTCTCGTACAGGAAGAGGTAAGACGCTAGGCATGGTATTTGTGTGGGATAAATTGTAAGGAAATACAGTTTCATAGAAAGTGACATCACGTGAAGTATAAACCTTTTTAGTGTGAAGATCATAAATTTTGTAAGCCTTTTGAGAAGGTGGATAACCAATAAAAATGCCTGGTGTGGCTCGTTTATCAAACTTTGAGTGAGGGGAAGGATTATGCCCATAACAAAGGCAACCAAATATACGTAAATGTGCATAAGATGGTGACTTGCCAAACAGAACATCATAAGGGGTTTTTCCGTGTAAAATTTTTGTGGGCAAACGATTAATTAAATATGTAGCAGTAGGAACACAATCTCCCCAAAAAGATAAAGGTAAGTTCGATTGGAAACGAAGAGATCGAGCAATGTTTAAAAGATGGCGATGTTTGCGCTCGACAACGCCATTTTGTTGCGGTGTTCCCACACAACTATGTTGATGAATGACACCAAGTGAAAAAAATTGTTTGATGGTGTGATTAAAAAATTCAGTTCCATTATCAGTACGAACTTGGCGAATAGGAAGATTAAACTGTGTTTTAATCATAGCAAAAAAACGAGGTAGATAGGTATTGACTTCAGATTTATGTTGCATTAAATAAAGCCAAGTACTACGAGAATAATCATCAACTATGGTTAAAAAATATTTAGCACTAGAAAGAGCAGGAATAGAATAAGGACCCCACACATCACAATGAATTAAATTGAAACAAGCATTCGTTGAAATAGTACTGGAGGGAAAAGAAAGTCTACAATGTTTAGCCAAAGGGCAAATGGTGCAAACATGATTATTAGGAATAGAAATTTCAGAATGAAAATTTTGTAGGTGGGGAAGAATAAATTTAGATGGATGACCTAAGCGCCAGTGCCATAGATTGAAACTCGGGGAAGCAACAGCGGAATTAGCAATGGATGGTACGTCAGGAGCCAAATAATAAAGACCACCACGTTCCAATCCCTTACCAATCTCCATCTTCGAACTTAGGTCCTGCAAAACACAATGATCAGAATAAAAGGTAATAAAACAATTAAGTAGCTTAGTGAGCTTGCTAACAGATAGAAGATTGAAACGAAAATCAGGTACCAATAAGACATTATGTAAAGGGAAAGATGGTAAGGGTTTGGAAGAGCCAATATGAGTAATATTAGATGTTTGTCCAGTTGGTAATTTAATAGGAGCAGTATTAAGAGTGGTCATGTTGTCTAACATAGTAGAACTAGAAACCATGTGATCGGTGGCCCCGGAATCGATTATCCAAGAATTGAGATTGAATGAAGAATGAAAACATAATGGATTACCTGCGACATTAGCCATTGAATTATTTTTACTGGATGGCAACATGGCAATCAATTGAGTGTATTGTTCGTGAGTTAGAGTTGGTGCAGCTGGAGTGCTAGTGGTTGCTGCGACAAAAGAACCAATAGAGGGAGTACGTGAGGAAGGAGAATTGGTCTTGGCAGTACCATTCTTCTTTTTGCAATGAGACTCTGTATGCCCCGCAGTATCACAAAATTTGCAAAACATATAATTTTTGCTGGCAAGATTTTTGCGACAACGAGATTCTGAGTGATCGTCGGCATCACAAAATTTGCAATGATAAAATGGCTTCTGAGATTGCGATCGATTGGCTGCCATGGCAGATTGATCAAGAGACGTTGTGATTACAGGTTGAAGAGAACATTGGCGTTCATCTTGTAAGAGCAAGGAGTAGGCACGATTGACAGTCGGCAAAGGATCCTGAAGAAGCATGTTACTACGAACCCCAAAATAAGATTCGTTCAGCCCAGCCAAAAATTGCATGAGATGCTCTTCTTGAATGTGATTCATGCTAGTTTGAGAAGCTCCACAAGTGCAAGAGGTTAACGAAATATACGAAGATAACTCATCCCAATAACCTTTCAAAACAGTATAATAAGAGGCTATGGATGAGTTACCTTGTGTATGATTGGCAATGGTGCGACAAATCTCAAATATCCTAGGAGCATTCTTTTGAGAAAAACATTCACGGAGATCGTCCCAAACTTCACGTGCTGTAGCGGTATAGATAACACTATTGGATATCTCGGGAGAGAGAGCGTTAACAATCCAAGATAGAACCATACTATTACACCTGGTCCATTGATGAAATTTGGTTGCAACATCCTCAGGTTTGGCGATACTTCCGTCAATGAACCCAAGTTTGTTTTTGGCGTCAAGCGCCATCCTCATGGCGCGAGACCATGTAGGATAATTGTCACCAAGCAGCGGCTGTGTAACAAGAATCACACCAGGGTTATCAGAATGATGTAAATAAAGGGGAGAAGAAGCCGCATATTCTATGGACAGCGGCGTGTCCTTATTAACTGATTTCTTCCCATCAGATTTGGGAGAAGCAGTGGAGGCAATGTCAGACATGGTTGGAAAAAAAAACGTAGGAAGAATGGAAAATTTTAATGGATCGAGATAGGCTCTGATACCATGTAAAATAATATCTCGTATATTTTATGTATTTGAAATACAGAAGAAGGCCAATATATAAAGCCAATAAGACTACCTAAGGAAGGTAATTTAAATCCTAAGTTAAAGGCACTAATTTGTACAAGCCTTAATAGAGAAGTTGACTATTCCTATACAAGGTAACAAATAATGTACAATATATTTTGTAATCTTTCCATATCTTCAATAGTATGCCATGAAATGACGGCGATGTATGCCATATAATGATGGCGATGTAATGGATTTGTATGTCATGTCATGGTGGCAATGTAATGTAGATGTATATATGTTATGACATGATGGTGCGATGATAATGCACATTAGTTGGTAATTTAGATAAAAATAGGTATGTGTAATCCTTTACTTGCGTTGAGATTGTCATCACCCGAGCCGAGGCAAGCATGTATATGGAGAATTTTCCTTTTCTTTAAGCATGGCGGGACATATTGGAGATGGTGTGGCCGATATACGTAGTGTCCCCCGAGCCCTCAAGTTCTTAGTTAAGAACTTGCTATCGACTGGGAACCTTAAAGTAAAACCATTGTTTGGTCGAGCTGATCAACCTGTGCCTTGGTGGGAGAGCTTTTGTTCCTTGGAGAATCAACCATGCAAGGTGGTTAGTCATGCAACATGGTAGTCAGCCATGCTAGGTGGCAAAGTGGTCAATGACCATACAAAGTGCTCAAGCCATCCATGCGAGTAATACAACGTAGAGATCAAGCATGCGAGATGGTCAAGGTGGTCGGGTTGGTCTTTCGACGTGATAGATGACCATGCAAGGTGGCCAGGTGGGTCGTTCGACGTTGTAGATGACTATGCAAAATGGTCGGGTCGGTAGTTTCGACGTGATGGATGACCATGCAAGGTGGTCGTGTCGGTCATTCGATGTGGTACATGACCATGCAAGGTGGTCGTGTCGGTCATTCGATGTGGTACATGACCATGCAAGGTGGTCGGGTCAGTCATTCAAAGTTGTAGATGACCATGCAAGGTGGTCAGGTCGGTCATTCGACGTTGTAGATGACCATGCAAGGTGGTAGGGTTGGTAGTCTGACGTTGTAGATGACCATGCAAGATGGTTTCTGATGGTTGACCAACCAAGTTTTCCTCCCTACCAATATGGCTGTTGACTTGGATTGAGAAATAAATGAGGATTATAACTCGTGAGAGAGGAAAATAAGAAGGGAGCACCGTGGGTGCTCTACGCAGGTTTTGCTTCAGATTTTAGCATAGAACTATTGGTAGAAATGAGCCTCACAATGGAGAGGGAGTTTCACTGTGAAGGAGAGGAATGAGAACGACATAGATTTGTGTCGGTTCCCACATACGGCACCAAATGTTAACGAGTGAATTTGTACATAACAGATTAAGACATAATCACACACATAACACAAGTGTTTGAGTGGTTCACCCATAATAGGACTACATCCACTATAGTTTATAACTTTGTATTTGTATTTGAATATGGAGATTACATTGTACATGAAAGAGATATGGGGAGAGAGACTTAAGAGCTCTAGTAGAAGAGAAATAGAGAGCTTGGGAGATCTTTGGGCAGCTCTTGGAGAAGTGGCAGCTGCTCTCCTTTGCTTGGAGGTGGTGAGCTCCCTTTTGTAGTCCAAGTAGTGGTAGAAAATGCATGGCTCTCCTTGATTTGAGGATTCTACATGGTCTCCCCTTGATTTGGGCAGGAACGGATCCACAGAGGAGCAAGGGTGGTCAATTGACCCTTGCAACCTCTGAAATCCTCCATTAGAGTAGCCAAACTTGACCCTCGCAAGGTGTTCGACGAAATGCCCCAAAGGGGCAACTTGTGTGCAGCTCCAGCCTTTGCACGCAACACCCAGCGCGTGCGCCCTCATCTTTTTTTTTTCGCTTGACATCAAAACGACATCGTTGCATTGATTGTTTTTTTTTTAAACCTGGCCAAAACGACGTCGTTTTGGCAAAGGTTTTTTTTGTTTCTTTTTAAAAATGCAGCAGTCACTGCCTGCTCGACAATTCCCTCCCCAAACCAACTCAGAGTTATGTTAGTTTGTAATTTGTATATAGAAAGTTATGAAACAATGCAAATTTCCTTATTTTCATTTTCAGCATTTAAGTAAATTTCTTTGTCCTTTTACTTTCATTTATTTTAATATTACTCCATTTACTTAAGTTTACAATGTAAATAAGGAAGTACCCCCCATTTGGATTCAAATAAAAATACTAGAAAATCAAATTCTCACCAAATCAAAATATGAAAAATCGGTTTTAATACAAAATACGATTTAGGCTAAAAATGATGGCTCATTAAGTCAATATATACGTCATAATAAAATCCCACAAAATCAAGTTTTCTTATTTGATGTGTAAGGAATAAAAGCCACCAAAAATTACCTTCAGAAAATTATTATGCCGAAAAACCATTTTTCATACTTAGCCTATTGTGGAGTCAGGAAGCGCGCCATGATGTTGTATTTTTTTTTAAAAAAATATAAAGTTAATGTAGTCCCTTGTTTCCTCTCTTTTTTAATATGAAAAATGTTCGGAAAGATTGTTTTGAGTCTTGTTTTAATTTTTTGTTTGCTCGAGGACTAGGAAAAGATTGACCCCCGGAAAGAAAATTCCTGGATCCACCACTGAATTTGGGGTGAGAAGGCATGAGAGGGAGCATGACTAGCTACTCCTTATTTAGTGGGATATGAGGTATAACAAGCCAGGGTTATCCCTTAATTGGTGGGATTTGCTTAAGGGGGTAAGTGAGGTCTACACATATGGTGTTAACACACTCCATAGTTGAAGAAAGCAGGCAAATTCAATACTTCCAAATTCGAAGCCCTAATCAATCAATGTGATCCAAAATCGAACCCTAAAATGACCAAATATACCTCAGATTTGGGCTCTAATTAATACTCTAATTAATACGTAAGGTGAACCCTAATCCAGTGTTAATCAATGAAGTGAGTGTAAGCAGCAAATGTAACCCAATCACTCAATTTCATAACAAAGAATCTCAACTGACTCTTTTACCCATCAGATATAGAAAGAAAACTTGATTTGATCTAAAATGTTAATTCAAACCTTCTTATTTAGGTGTTAAAAGCGAAGACACTTCTATTTTGTACTTGTTGACTTGTCTTGGGTTAGATTTAGACTGATGGCTTGGTTGGCTGCATGCCTGCAAAGAAAAAACACAAAATTTTACACAGAGACAGAGACAGAGAGAGAGAGAGGCCCACTGCTCCACTGCACACGTCATCACAGAAGAGGCCAAATAAGGGCACGCAATTTAAGGGGTTGGATTCTTTTTTCTCCACGAGTCAAAGGGGGCTTGTCCCCACTTCTTTGACTTTTTCTCCCCTAAAAAACATTACTTCACCTGCGCATTTTAGCAAACCACCATGCACTCACCGCTTTGCTGAGTACTGCACTGTGAGTGAGTGAGTCTGTGGTGATCAGCTGTAGCCGCGCCTCATTGGGACTTCATACTCTCGCTCTCTAGTTGCTAATTGCTTATGAGTTTGAGATGGTAAATTCTAACTTGAATAGAAGAAAATTTAGAAATAAACAGCTTGTCTGTGAGTTACTTGTTCACCAAATAAAGTGTTTGTATAATAGCATTACTTGTGCAACAACTAAAAGTGATTGTATGTAGGGTTAGGTTAGTTTATCTCACAATCATAAGTTGGTCACGATCATAAATCCGTCTTTTTACGGTTAAATTTGAATTTTCATTTCTGTAAATTAAATTAATCTAGAGTAATACAAAGTGCTGAATATATGTGCTCTATTTTGAAATGTGAATAATATAAGAGTGTTGGTTAATTGAGATTTTCCACTGTTTTTGTGAGGAGATGAATTTGGTGTGTACGATTTTCCTTTCCTTGTTTCTTTTTCTTACAAATGAAGATGTTCATTTTTCTGTTCTTTTATCTTCCCAAGAAAATTTAATACTTAATTTTGACAAGTTGCTCTCATATATTTTCAGACCTCAACAAGAAAGAGAAAATGCTCTCATCTCATAGGTTCCATCGTTTTCATAATTAACTCAAACTGCTATATAAATCGTACTTCGAATTGTCCATTTCAATCTTCAGAGGTACCATCACACAATAAAAAAAACTTACATGTAACGGAAATTACGGAATAACAATGTTTTACTATCCTCGACAAATAACATAATAATACATGAAAATGTTATCTTACATATCATTGTATTATTGACCGAAAATAGCAAAAAATACTATTCCCGTTACATGAGAGTTTCTCCCCACAATCCACCACACACTACATAGAAAATTAGAAGCGAAAAAAACAAGAAAAGTATAAATCATATTTTGGTCAATGTCTAAATATATATTAAAACATACATATTAAAGGAGTTAAACTTACGGCAAGTGTTTTTAATGAATTATTTTTGTATAGTCATCAAACTTTGATTTGTTAAAAGTAAAAATACCTTTTGTGAGATAAGGAGGTAAGCAATGTCCAATACATATTAAATCGTATATATTAAAGGAGTTTAACTTCGGGTGACAGAAAATATTATTGGTAGGTGAACTACTGTACCAAAACTAAACTAAAACAATAAGTAATTGATCAGTATTTATTGTTTATAATTTGTCTTCCTTTTTCAAAGTGTCATTCATCACAATTAATGGGGCTGAAATCAGCTGCTAGATTTGGTCAGCTGATTACACAGCAAAATGCAGCCTTTTCCATTCTGACAGTGACAACAAATTAACTTTCACCACTAATTAATTTCTGTTTGTTCTTTTTGGATAATAATATCAGTCTCGGTTAATAAAGATGCAACACCAAAACATTAACTGTTAGGGCTTTTAGAACAACTCAACCCACATTTCCATGTATACCTAGCTTGCTTCATTTCTTCCACCACAAATTAACCAATTCTCCCTAGACTAATTTGTGTTCCTTAATTATGCTTAAAAATTAAAACAGTCGATCTTTTCCACTAATCAGTCATTCCACAGTGCAAACATAGGCACTTGTGGAACCAAACCAAGATTTCCAAGCCTTGAATGATCATTCCCACCACCATTGCCATCTTCATACTTAGCACCCTGCATTGAGAAATACGCATGGGAATAGTCTCCACCAAGGCCAAACTCACTAGTGTGCCCAAATGAGCACTTGGGGCTTTGTGGGCTTGAAGAGTTCCTGCTGCTTGAAGCACCCAATGCTGCATTGTTGGTGGTGGTGTTTGAATTCTCATTATGTGAATGGGAATGATCCTCTGCATTATTATTATTCCACACCATTTCAGCCATGTCATCACACGGTTCACCACTTGCTATGGCCAATAGGGGTTGTGCAGAAGTAGATGATCCACAAGAATTGAAGTCTTCGATTGCCGCCGGCGTAGAGTCTTTTGGCGAACGCTTGGCCAGCTCACTGGCAATTAGGGTGGAGCTTGAGCAAATTCTCTTCACATCATACCTACTCATATCAAAGTTGGTCACAGCACTTGTACCCCTAAACTTGATTGCAGCAATGTCATAAGCCTCAGCTGCTTCTTCTTGTGTGCCTATATCATATTTAGAAATTGGATATAACAGTTTATCAAAATTGATCAGAAGTTGTTAATTATCAGTTTATTCTTAAATGAACAGATCAATTGGTCATTTCGTAGCAAGAAGGTAAAAAAACACTTACTAAATGTTCCCAAGTACAAGTCTTTGTTTCCAGCCACCCTGCCAATTCTAGCTTGCCACCTTCCATGCTGATGGTGTCTGCCAAGACAAAGAAAACAAGGTTTTGACAGATAAGAGGAAAAAGGATAGGAAATTGGATGGGGAGGGCTTGAATAAGGTACTAAAGTTTACATATGTTTTGATATCATATGGACATTTTTCTAATAATGTTTGCCTATTATTGCCTATGATAATTGAAAAAAAGGCTGCAAATGCAGAAAATAATGGCAACTCTATTATTAAAGTTGGATTTCTGCCATACCTTGTCACTCCTCTGTACACAGAAGCTCCTCTTGAAAACCCACTGCTTTTCCTACACAACATCAAAAGATGCCATTCAGACTTTAAAATAAATAAAAATCAAAGCATATAAAGAAAAGAGAAAAAAAAAGGAACAGAAAAGTCTGGTCCAATAGGTATCAAGTTGAAAAAAGTGCTGATGATAAAGGGTATATACCTTCTCAAATTGGCTACAAATTCTTGTCTTGTCATGTTCTTCATCTCTTCCAGCTCTTTCTCATAAGTACTTAGCTGAGCAACAACAATATCAAAAGCATATAGAAGTGCATAATGGTTTTAAATATTGTTACAAAAAGTGAAACATGGCTTTTACTTAATTTCTTTGAGAAAACTTTCATGCAAGGGGGATAGGTAGCAAAAAGTGTTAAGTTATCCCTGTTACAAGATAGTTTTTTCTGAATTTCTTGAGGTAAATACCAAAACTCACAGGAAAATTAATGTGGGTGGTTGAACCCCAATACTTGAGTGCAGCTAAATCATATGCCCTTGCTGCTTTTTCCTCCTTATCATAACCACCTGATGATCGTTTTGCAGGAAGGGAATATGAAGGTTATTAAATCATATATCACACCTTCCAATGCACCATATATATATATATATATACTTACTTTTAAATATATAATTAATTACAAAATTCAAAGAGAAAAAGTACGTCCACAAGATCAATAAAGAAACAGCATGCAATGCGTATCAGAGCATCAGAGCTACTAGATTCACTTACCCAGATAAACTGCAGTTGCATTAGTGTTGAAGATGTGAAGAAAGATCACCAACCCAGAAGCAAAATTGCATGAAACAAAATACCAGACCGTTAGTATATTCCCTTAACAAACAAAAGTACCCAAAAAAAGAAACTAAGGAAACAATCTTTCTTCCATCACCAAAAAACAATCTGGAAAAAAAAAAAAAAAAAACACCTCTCACCTTGCCTTCCTTTCCTTGTTTGCCCTTCTTTTCTGCAACTATTATCCCACAGATGGGCCTCATATCTCCCAGTCCACCTATGCCTATAACAATAGTTTCATCCCACAAAGTATTTTTCAGTGTTTTCTTTTTGAGAACTCAGTTTTTTTTTTTTTTAAAGGAAAAGAAAATAGTTGGTAGTGTTATATTACCTGGTGACACCACGGAACTGAGAAGTTCGCTGACCAAAAGTGTCAATAGATTTTCTAGGAACTGGTTCTCTAGCTGCAGATTTCCCAACAGGCCTTTTCTTGCTTTCCACTATTTGCAGTTGAGAGATTGCGCCCATATTATTACCATTTTGTTGTAAGCTTGGGCTCATAGTGAGTGAGAGAGATGACTGATGAAAGCTGTTGCCATTTGCCTGGTGGTGATCACCACATGGTGATGATTTTTCATCAGAAAACGGCACCGTTTGGCCCAACCAAGATTTGTACATGCCATTACTTGGGATGAGGCTTGGTGGGTTTAGGGTACAATAATGGCTGTACGGTTGAATTAGGTTGTTGTTGTTGTTGTCTTCTCTATTGTTGGTGGTGGTGTTGAAGTTTGGGGCCTCATTAACATTGATCTGAGAGATGGTTTCTGGGTTTTGGTCTTGTTGGGTACTTTGGCAATTGTAGACTTTGGTTTCACTTGGAGTGGGAGAGCTTGAGTAGCAGCTGCCCAAAAAATCTTCAAGCTTTGGACCCCTTTCATCATTTGGGTCTGTGACACTTGTCGCACCCATGTGATTTTCATATCTCCAATCTTCCAAAATCACCATGCCAAGAAAAACACTCAAAGTGATTATCAAAAGTCAAAACCTGCACATAAAAAAAAAAAACCCACCAAGAGATCAAAGAAACCATGTCCTAACAGTGACATGCAATACCTTCAGAACCATTGGGTCGCCTGAAAGGATCAGCAGGAACACAAAGAGACCCATCAGAGCGCAAGGGCATGATGGTCATTTGAGAAGTGAAGCCTCCTCCTCCTCCATGGTCTTGTTGATCTTCTCCCCCACCAAAGCCTTCATGGATCCTCAAGTGTGGAGTGAGAGAAAACCCCAACCAGTTACTCATATTGAAAGTAGAAAACAACCCAAAAATCTAAGAATTTGGTGTTTTAATTTCTCTGTCTAAAGTTCTAACCTTTGGGTTTTTGGGAAGTTTTCAAAGGTGGTAATGGTTGTGTGGTTTTGGGGAACAGGGGAAGAGAGTTGATTGCATATACATAAATGTCTTTTTGTTTCATAGATTTACTTGTGAGTCATATGATGATGGGAAGGAAAGGAGGGGCTCATTTGTCCTTGTGGGTCTTTTTGCTTTGCTCTATGGACATGCAAACCTAAAAACCAGATTTGTGAAAAACTACAAAAACTCACCCCTCCTCTTTATATTGTCGCCTTACCTCTGCTTCTGTTTTGTATTGAAATTCTCGGGCTCTGTGCCCCACCTCCCTCCCTTCTTTCATCTCTTTGTCATATTCCTGCAGTGGTGGCCATGAGACATAGACATAATGTTGTAGACAAACATAAAATTCAATTTTATTATTTATTATTATTATTTTTTGATATATGAATTCAAAATGAATTAAGAAATGATATTATTAAATAGATACTCCTCATTTTTACAAATCACACTTTGACACATATGGAAAAATAATTCATTAAAATAAATAAAAAAAGACTTATGCATGCATATCACACTGCTACGGACAGGAATGTACGAGTTTCTACTTACTTGATAAAAAGGGAAGTACGAAAATACTTTCAAAGGATTGAACATCAAATCAAAATCAGCACACACTTAGATCTTCATCTTTTTAAATTAATCTCTGTCCTTGTGGGTCTATTTGCTCTATGGAAGAGATAGAGAGGTGTGATGATTTTATGTAGCTCTTAACTTTCCTAGGCTTTTCATTTCTTCATTCATGAATTTCTACCTAGTTATAGTGAATGAACAAGTTTGACGTAGGGAAATTGATTGCCGCATGGCTTGCAACCTTTTGCTTCCCATTCGTGTAATGTATAATGTACCAAATGGATCAGTATTCATGCACTCCATGTAGTAATTAGTGAGGCTTCAATTGATTAAACTTTGTTAATTAAGAGCAATTAAATTTGTGCACGAATGATGCTGGATTTGAGTTGTTTTTAGAGGGGTAAAATTGTCTCAAAAGATTTTGCTAGTTGACTCAGAAATTTGCTTCTTTTAAATTCCTAACACTCTCCAATGATATATGGCTACCGAGTACCTACCCACTTTTCTTGGCATCCTAACTGGGCCATTTGGGCCTAAACTTGTTTATTGGGTTCCTCATGAGACATATTTTTTGGTGGTTTGTCTTTTAGGGCTAATGTTATGTACAAATAGTTTGAAATTTTTTATTTTTTTGGCAATCTTAGCCCATCGTATGCAAGGCATTCAATTTTACCCGCATATGTGAGTTTTTCCTCTCTCCCTCCTAACTTTGGGCCCAAAAAAGAAAAAATGTACTCATAGCGAGATCAACATGAACGCACGTTAATGAGAAATTCGGAGATATGGGAATTAGATTGGGTTTGGAACTTAATATAACTTCCATTACTATCATTCTAACAATTTACTTCTTTAATTCAAGCCTTTGGGTTTGGGCAACTGTTTTAGAAGTCGTGTGTTCTCCAACTTTTGTTGCTAATGCAGCAGTGCAGAGCTCTAGTTGCAGAAACGGCAGATAAAGGCCTGCCAAGACCCAGAACAAAGGATTGCTTTGGGCTTGATCCTCCTATCTCCCTGGGTTTAGTCCTTAGTGTGGGTTTGATTTAGTTAGCATGTCCAAAGAGCCCTACAAGCCAAGGCTATACACTTGTTGTTGTTTTGTGAATCTTTCCCAGCTCTAAGTAGAAGAGAAAGTTTTGTAATTTTCAAGTACCAAAACATAAGTTTAAAGAGTTTTATTTCTCTTTGCAACCTTTTGTAGATTACAGAAATCAGATCCTAGTCAATTAAGTTGAACATGTTGTCTTAAACATCCTAATCAGGCTACTGATATCGATATATTTTTCTACGAAAACCGAAATAATATGCATCTCTATGATCTGTTGTATATCTTATATGATACCTAACTCATTGTTGTGGTCAAATTTGGACGTACCTCACACTTAATAATTGTAGGACATCCAAATACATTAGTTTAATGAATAATTAACTCCTAATCTCTGAGTCTTACATAAAACTTCTGGCACTGACAATGTGACTCTACCTTCTTCTCCTGTACAGTACCCAACTCTGATGCACGCCATTTTTTTTCTTTATAATTTTTTCATCCCAACTTGCTGTGTTTGGCATCACAGGCTTCACACAAGCCCACATGCCCCCCACCCCGTCACACTAAAGTTTGTTTATATGAATTTCCCAAAATAAATAAATAAATAACCCTACACTTGATTATTTAGATTTGGTATAATAATGAGATTCACATATTATAAGAACCCTAGTTTTCAGATTCTCCACTTATAGGTAGGCCATTTGAAATCTAAGCGGCTACAGCTTTTTCTACAAATGGGTAAAGTGCAAATGATAATGGGCACGGTTAGCTTCCTTTTCTTCTAGCATGATAATCCTACAAATCTATGTATTATTGAAATTCAAATATATTTTAAAGAACATCGAAGCCATCAACCACCTTCTAGGTCATCCACCCTTTGTTTCAAATCACTAGAAAATTTGGATCCTTTTTAGCTTTCAATTTTCCTTTTTCTCTGCTGACATTGACTTTCTTATTGTTCAGAGCACCATCTACCAAATATCTCATTTTCGAATTTGACTAGTTCCATTTAAGTGAAATGATTATCATTCAACTAGTAAATGCTTCATTATTTAATCATCTTAATTAGCTAGAGGTTGTGTATTTAGTTGCTAATTTCAATACCTGAACGAGGTGAATAAGATGGGAGGGGATCTGCGGTTCCCAAATTTGGTGTCCCTCCATGTCCCTTATTTGTTTGACTCATGTGTTCATTGACTTAACTCCAATGTAACACACTGTTAACTTACAAAAAATATTATTGTTTGGAAATAATAATAAAAAACCAAGAACCAAAAATCCATCTTGATGAACACAATCATTTTAGTTTGAGGATGATAATGCAATGAACCAAAAGGTTTCATTGGAATGCTAATACAATGAATTCAAAGCTCAACGGTTTCTGCACAAAATCTTGGAAAAATTCTTATATTTAATTAGGGGCTTTAACTGTTTGGCCTTATTAGGCTAAAATTTTTGTCACACCGAACTAATCCAATTCAATTAGAAAATGATTTCCTCTCTTTGGTTCAACATCTGGCACAACATGGAGATGCACATTTTTTATGGTAGATACATAGAGATGTGTGGAATTTAATTCTCTAAGACTCAAAAGATTGCAGCATGCCATGAAATTCCAAACTGCAAGAACATAACCCAAGAGATCAGATGCAAATCAAGGTATCATATAGATGAATATCAACAAATATTTGTCTGTCTGTCTGTCTGCATTGATTGTCCTTGGTCCGCAGCTGCTGCTGTATGCACCACCTAATCCTTAAATTAAGAAATCCCCCAAACCTAATTCCCCTTTTGTTAATAATTCTTCTTGTATTGCTGATTTCATTAGGAAACGAACACATGTTTATATTTGAGCAAAACAAAGTTATTATATTGGCTTTTACACACCTAAAAGCAAGTTCAACCGATCCAGACATTCATTTTCTAACTAAGGACCCCTGTCTATTATGCAAAAAGACCAACATTTAGACAATTGGTCAATCCCAAAAAGTCATCATTATTGTGGTCAAAGCTGTTCACTTTTGCATTGGATGCAAACTATTACAGAAAGGTATTAACTACTAATTATAATTAAGCAGATAAATTACTATTAATCACGTGAGGGTCACGTGCAGTGACAAAACAGACCAGTGTTCGAGGCCTCACTCAGAAAATATAAGCACTTCAACCAATCATATTAGAACTACATGCACTCACTATACTTTAGAGATAATAAAAGATAACAAGCTTGCCAACATAGTCTAGTACAATGAAAAAAGATCTTGACTTGCAGATTAAGGGTTTCAGGTTTGAATCCCCCTGACATCTTAGTTGTGTGTGTGAGAGAAATCGCTCTCACCTTTAGTTTAGACTATCACTTTGATTGTACTGAAAATATAAGATAACAACCTTAAATTCTATAAGATTTTTTTCTGTTTTTATTTTATTCTAAGGCTCAGAATTTACTGAAGAGCATAGCATATTCTTTTCAAGACAAAACTGCTACTTATTAACCTTAATATTGTATTGATCTATCCTTGTCTACCTAAACCCTACTATTCTTTCTTCCCTTTTGACACAAAAACTATTTTTACTAAAAAGACTGCATGCCTTTTTATTTACTATATCTTTGCACATGCAAAAAGAAACTGTGCAGCTTAACAAAATAATCACATATATCCACTAACATGACAATCTCTTCCAACATGGGGATCTGATCAACTTTACCACAGCCGTCTGATCTGATATGCATCATTTATGTTACCCTTTTCACCACAATGCTTTGGCCACCTTTTTGCGCACTAAGTAAATTAAATTCTAATATCCAACACTTTTTTCTTTAGCAGCCCCTTTGTAGTAAAATGTAAGCATTGACAACCTTTACAGCACTCTCTATGCTCAATCATCAACACTATGATCAAAATTCAAGTCTCCTTTCTTGCACCTGCGCCAGAGCCCTTGTATATTTATGTGTAGTAGTTGGGGTTTTGTTTCTTCTCTCCCATCAAGAAGGTTAGATGACAGAGCTGCCTCTCTGCATAACTTAGTTTCCCAAAAAGCCTCACAAAATCTCTCTCTGTCTCTCTCTGTCTCACTCTCAAACACACTTACACAAAGCGACCCAATGGCTCCTATGACAGAAGAGTCCATTAAAAGAAAAGTGAAGGCAGGGGAAGCCATGAAAAGCTCAAAAAAGGAAGTCAACAAGGGAGCATGGACAGCAGAGGAAGATCACAAACTAGCAGAGGTTATTGAAGTACATGGTGCAAAAAGATGGAAGACAATTGCCTCCAAAGCAGGTATATATCATAATTTTTACAGACTACAAATTAATAAGATGAAACAAAAATCATTCATCACATTACATCTAAGCATGATCAAAGAGCTGAAAGTGTCTTAATTCAATTGATGCAGGCCTCAATCGGTGCGGCAAGAGTTGCAGGCTAAGATGGTTGAACTATTTAAGACCCAACATCAAGAGAGGAAATATATCCGACCAAGAAGAGGACTTGATCCTTAGGCTACACAAACTTCTAGGAAACAGGTACAAAAATCAAATTAGGATCAAGTTGGTTTGCATGATTATTTATAAAAACTGATCCCTTTTCTCTG